CGCGTCGCGCCCAGCGCAGCGCCGCCTCCCAAGCGTCGCCCTCCGCGCGCGCCTCCGACGCCGGCTCCCCTGCGCATAAGCACACACTCGCTGGAGAAGCGCTTGAGAAGATCAAGAGAAAAAGATTCCGATTTTCCAATTTCGTTCCATTGGCACGTGGCAACCAACTCTAGAGAAAAATACATTAATAGGATTCTTCTATAAGAGCGGGTAAATTGCAGTTGAGGAGTATTTAAGATAGTCTCCCAAATCATGCATTAGGATTTGGGGATGAGGCTTGGTGGCGGGGCCCAAGGGCGGGGTCTGAGGGTGAAGGGACATGGAGGCGGGACCTAAGGGCGAGGATCGTGCGAAGCGAGGTGGCGTGGCGGTGGCCATGCGGGGTGGGGCTGGGAGTGGGAGTGTCTGGCGAAGCGGCTGAGGTGGGGCTTTGAGGTGAGAAGCATCAGGGCGAGGGCGTGGGAAGAGCCATGGGGGTGGGGTCTGAGGGCGAGGGAGACGTGAGTGCGAGGGACGTGGGACAAGGGGAGGTAGGAGCGAGGATGTGGGGGTGACGGGCGTGGGGCGAGGGCCTGGGACGAGAGATTGGGTACGAGGGGCGTAGAGGCGAGGGGCTTGGAGCGAAGGGCGTGGGGACGAGGGGGCAAGGAACGAGGGCGTGTAGGTGTAGCCATGGGGTGGGGGCGAGGGGAGGTGGGAGCGAGGGGCTTGGGGACGAGGGGGCCTTGGGTGAGGGGCGTAGGACGAGAGCGTGGGGGCGAGGGCATGGGGCGAGGGTGTGTAGGTGCGAAGGGCGTGGAGGCGAAGGGGGTAGGGGCGAGGGACGTGGGGCGAGCGAGCGCGGGGCAAGAGGTGAGGGCGTGGGTCGAGGGGCATGGGGCGAGGGTGCGTGGGCGGGGCCATGGGGGTGGCGGTCTGAGAGCAAGGCGTGGGGGCGAGAGGTGTGGGCCGATGAGGGTGGGTCTTGAGGGGCAAGGGGATGGAGGTGCGAGGGAGTGAGTGCGAGGGGCGTGGATGCGAAGAGCATGGTGGCAGAGGACGGAGGGCGAGGGCGTGGGCGAGCGTGGGGGCCATGGGTGGGGGACCGACGGCGAGGGATGGGGGCATTGGGGGGGGGTCATGAGAGGGCAAGAACGTGGGGCGGGGCCTGAGGGCGAGGGCGGAGCTCACCGATCCAGATGGGCGGCGGCGGCGCGCGCGGGTTGCGCGTGTGTGGGGCGCGGCAGGAGGCGCAGCAGGGCGTCGCGCTCGGCCAGCAGCTGGTCCATGGGCCGCGGCCGCGCCTTCGCCCCCGAGCCGCCCTCCTCCCACAGCCGCCTGCGCAAACGAACGCCCTTCACACACTGGCACGGAAAAATAGAATGCAGTTTGGGTGAAGCGTTCGTAAAATGAAAATCTAAATCACGATTTATAAGCATCTGCCCTTTGTATGACATCTTTCGTCCATCTACAAATATCGTCATAATACAAGCTATCTTAACAGAAAGTAATTTCGATATGTTTTCTTTTATTAAAGCAAGCAAGTACTACACTCGATGACTTGAAATATTCGTTAAGAAACTACAAATTCCAAACTGACCCGACAACGGATGTAGTAAAACATTCTTCCAGTTGAAACACGTTCTCTGAAAATGCCCTAAATTTAATTTACTAAACCCACATCCATCTTAACATCCCGTGAGGTGTACGTAGCTTGTTTGTTAACGTTCTGCTCCGGTATTCGTCTGATATTGATTGGAGAGACTCATAAAACTACCGATTGCAGCAGCCGACTGACTACAGCTTCGGCCCGACTATGAAGCTAGGATACGCAATTGTCGGGGCTCGTATCCTAGGACCTCTCAGTCAGCAATTCTTCATATGTAAAGATGCTACCGCTCAGCTAATGCAGCTGATTCTTTTATTTGTGGGTTAATAGATAGCTTTTGCATAAGGTGGCATAAAACGTCGTGTGGCAACCATGAGACAACTATAACGCGTGAAGGGTTGAACAAATTTTTGTAAGTTCCGTTGTAAATGGAAGTGTCAGATTAAGCGAGTGGAATCACATGCTTTGTCACGCACTCAACCAGTGGCGTGTTCACGATGAATGGATATATTATTAAATGTTTATAACGTTTAATAAATATAATTAGACATTAGTACCACAAACAAAGAGTCCCATTGTATAAATATATAGTTAACATCTCATTTATCGCGATGCCATGTCTGGTTTGGAGCGCGACATGTCACGTGATTGCAGGCGCTGAACGTGGATGAGGAGCAGGCGCGCGGGGGCTCACGGGTGCCAGGCGAGCGCGGCGACGTGCGGCGCGGCCACGAGGAAGGCGGCGCGCAGGAACTGCGCGTGCGGCGCGGCGCGCAGGCGCGTGGCGTCGGGCGCCAGCAGTCGGGCGCGCGACGCGCACTGCGGGAAGGCGTCGAGCAGGCGGCGCAGCGCCAGCAGGTCGCGCCCGGCCTGCAGCCCCCACGCGCGGCCCTCGCGCCCCGCCACCTCCTGCGGCTCTGCGCCACCACACAAACAAACAAACAAACAAACGAATACAAAATACGTAAATACATAAATAAATACATAAATAAATAAATAAATAAATAAATAAATAAATAAATAAATAAATAAATAAATAAATAAATAAATAAATAAATAACTATATAATTAAATTAAAAATTTAATAAATAAAAGGAATATACAAAGCAATTCCGAAAGACTCAGGAAATCTTATATATACCAGAAAAACGGTTTACTGTTTATTAATTGCTGTTCCGGATCTGTCGTTATAGCAACACCAATGCGTTCAATTCATAGATTTGCGTTCTTACTTTCTTTTAAAAAACATTATATTTTCCTCTTTATTGATGTCAATAACTATGCTTGCCCATTAAGCACACTATAAAGACAATATAAAGCTTCTAGGCACCGAGCAGAAATCATCGGCTCACTGCTGTTCGACATCGAAGCGTTTCTCATTAAATTGACACAAACATTTGTCCATCGCATTGTGAAGAAAACTTTAGCGTGGTTTTTTATACCCGAAAATGACTCTCCTTGTGAGTGCTTTTTACCTAAATATGAGAGTAGGCATGAACAGTCAACATTTTAATGACCGTGAATTAAACACCTTTTATTTATCAATCTAATTATCTATCAATAAATACATATTTGTTACAAAAATCAAATATACACCCGAATGAGAGAAAGTAAAATGGACATGATGGTAGAAAAATGGAATATCTCTATCATGGATGATTCCCGGTGACACATGATTCTTCTAAGTTCTTCGTAAGAAATTATGAAGTGAAACGTTCTGAAAAACTGTAATGGATTCTACATTTGCACGCTTTGTACAGTAGTCCGCGGGCAAGTTAAATCACGAGAACTCCAGAGCTTGATGGTTGGTGAGTGGTTAGCTTATTTTCCTCGCGGGTTCGATCCTGGCCGAGGGACGAAGGGCGGAATATCCACAGTAGCCATGTCACACTTATGGCATGTAAAAGAACACTGGTGGTATGCCCGGCAAAATTAAATCCCTCGGATAACATCCCGCCCTAACGTGATCTCACTTTCTGCCAGCTAGACAGCTCGGTTCACTGAGACCGACATCTGTCGGAGAAATTGAGAGTCAAACCCCAGGCGCATTTATGGGATCGCCCGCGATGTGCGCCTGCTTGATACAGGTCCCCAGACTCGCGTCGGGGACAGGCTTCCAAGGGGGCCTGGGTCGAAAACCTTGCGTGCGGAGCAACAGCCTAAGAGCAGTCGCCCCGCAAATAGCTCCATGCGATAAATAAATCCTGAGCTTGGAGTACGAGGACTTCTGTTTCACGTTAAACAAACACGAACTGTTCACAATTTTGCGCGGTTCCATAGAATAACCCGGCAGCAAGCATGCATTTGCATTTCATTTTTATGTTTCCATTTCACTGTGCCTTAGAATGGTTAATGATTAGGGTTACCAAATGTGCAGAGACCAAAAAAGAATGACACTGCACAAAAACATAGGGTACTACTTCTTCGTATACACTGTGTATTAAGACTATTAATTTTTAATTACTTTCACATCTGTAACGGAATTTTAAAATACAAACATAAACTTATGCATTTAGTCCATTGAAATACCTGCGTTTGTTTAATTTTCAATAGTTTTATGGCTAATATTGCTTCTGGAAAACGAACACAATAATTGAATGAACATTCTATATCTTGTATTATTTCTATTATGAAAGCATTCCTACTCTTTATCAATTGTGCACTTAAAAGAGATAATATATGTTCTTTATTAACATTATATATAGGAATAGGAAAGAAGAATTAAAGTAATTTAGTGTAGTTCAGAATTGCAAAGAAAAGTCAATTTTAAAAAATCCATTGAAATCCGAACACTTTGTCCGCCGAGAAGCACAGCCCCAAGCAGAGAGGGCGTGTGACCTCACCGAAGCCCAGCTGCAGCGTGAGGTCGCAGCCGAGGGACGCGGCGAGGCCCAGCAGCGGCAGCGCGGGGCGCGGGTCCCAGGGCGCGGTGCCGGGCTCTGCGGCGGGGGCGCGGGCGGGGCCGTGGTCGGGGGCGGAGGCGGGCGCCGGCAGCCCCACCGCCAGCCGCAGCCCCGCCGCCGCGCAGAAGCGCTGCAGCAGCAGCCAGTCCGCCTCTAGTGCATGTACGGTCACAAGGGATGTTAACGCCCGGGTTCGTTTCGTTACTCGAAGTCTAGGCTGTCCGGGACGAGCCGCGTCACTGCAGTACGCTCTGAAGAAGGCCACAATGCGCTGGCCGAAACGTTAGCCACCATGTCAGTGACGCGGCTCGTCCCGGATATCCTAGACATCATAAACTCCGGCCGCGGAAGCCTACGCAGCCATTTCGTCACTCATCACGCTCGCGCATTGTTGTCGCACCCGAGCTCCATGCGTTAGCAAGCCCAACATATGAAGGAGCAAGGTTAATCAATTCCCCAGTCCAAAAAGATTCACATTTCAGCCAAAGTGTACATAATTTTTTTTGTGTTCAATTGCCTCTTAAAAGTACTTCAAGTGGGCGTTTGCGCTCACCAGTGACGTTGTGTGTGCGGGCGGCGCCGCCCTGGTGGTCGAGGTGCAGGTCGTGGGCGCCGTCTCCGCCCAGTCGCAGCGTGTCGGTGCCGGGCCCCGCCACACGCAGGTAGGCCGGCGCCAAGCCCCGCGCCAGTGCCAGCGACCGCGCAGACCCCCACCTGCGCATACACACACACTCGTGCGATCTCTTTCTCTCTCTCTCTCTCTCTCTCTCTCTCTCTCTCTCTTGCTCTTTCCCCAGTATCTTCTTCGGTCTCGATCTAGCTCTCTCTCTCTCTCTCTCTCTCTCTCTCTCTCTCTCTCTTGATCTTTCTCTCTCTCGTTCGAACTTTTAATTTTCAACACCTCTCTCTCGCTCTAGCTCTCTTCCCCTTTCTCTAGTTCTCTGCCCTCTCCCCCCCTCTCTCTCTCTCTCTCAATCTCTCTTCCACTTTCTCTCCGGCACTCTTTGTCTCTCTCGATATTGCACTTGCATCTGTCTCATATCCAGTTCTCTCTCTCCCTGTCGATCTACTTCTCTCTCTCTCTCTCTCTCTCTCTCTCTCTCTCTCTCTCTCTCTCTCTCTTAATCTCCCATAAATGAGCTGTACGAAGATCTTCCGACCTAAAGATGGGCGTGAGGAGAGGTTGGGGAAGAAAGGAATGTACGCGGTTGGTGGCGGGTTGGTTAAGGTACTGTTCCGGTATTCATCCTAAATTTATCTAATAAGCCCACAGAAACGCCCCTATGGCCTCTCAAACAACGCTAGAACCTCGGGAGGGAGGGCACTGCCTTAGGTGGCTCAGGGAATCAATCGATATCTCTACATTGCCTCTGACAGAGAGATCCTAGAGTTCCACTCCCGACTGTGGCAGGATTTTCGACACTAGGCCCTAGGAACGTAGCTAGATCGAATTCAGCCGCTGTCTGGAGGAGAATTCTAGCGGTCGGCTGCTCTGATCAGTAGTCTTCCGTGGTTTCGCCCATAAACACCAGACGAATTCAGGAGCAGTTCCCAAACAAACAGGCTAAGGACCGCACGCTATCTTCCCTTTCTCTTCTTTGTCCTAGCCTCACCCCTTACACACATACATACACACTTAGACTTAACACGCACTGCACTAACACACATGACGGGGAACCAGTCGGGAGCTTACGGCTTGTCTCGGCGGGAACGGTGCACCGCTGGTGGAAGATACCTGAATGCAGAAATCCCCCGCCAGTCGACGTGTTGGTCGGCGACAGATCTCGCCATCCTGCGGGATGAGATTACCGCCGTCACCCGCGATTAAATGAGGCCCTACAATCACAGAGCTAAGGATCTTGGCGGTTGACGCATCAGGAACTAATCAATCGACCGAACCTCGAAAGCATCTCTTCGACTGCTTCAGAAGCCTCTCCCCCCCCCCTGCCGACACTCACCTGCTGTCGTGCGCGACCAGGAGCTGCGCGGGGTCGAGCTGCAGGCCGATGAAGAGGTCGCCGGTGCGGTGCAGCAGTCGCTTGGCGCCGATAGACACCGACACCTCCAGCGGCGGCCGCCCCGCCCCGACCCCCATCACCAAAAGCGCCCACGCCAACAGCGCCCACGGCGCCCAGCACGCGCGCATCTCAGCGATCGGCGCGGCGCCACGCGGCGATTCTGCGCAACACGCGTGCACGCTGATAGACCTTTTTTTGGGGAGGGGGAGGTCAAAGAAATAGTAAAAACTGTAAGTGACGTATGGGGGAGAAGAACACTTCGTAAACTCCCGAACCCCAACTTCAGTGCTGTACGTAGTTGAATGAACCAATGGTTACCAATATTACAAAATTTGAAACAAAAAGGATTTCCATCAATAAACAGACTAGACTTCTAATTTTACGGCATTGCTTACAAAATAGCACCCCGACTCTGCTTCTACCACGTCTAGCAAAAGGTAAGGTCAACAAAACGTGCCCCAAATTAAGTTGAAATGAGCTTGGCGTGCAGTGAGGGTAGTGCGAGAGAGAAGGGGATTATCTCCCACCACAATTTCCCAACGTCTGTCGCGTAGTCATCTTGGAATCTCGCAAGCCCAATTGCTATTGCTCCAGTGTTATCGTGCCCAATATTTATTTACGCCTTCTCATATCTGTAAATTTATTAACACACGTAAATAATATACTCTTCAAATAATAAGCAAAATAACCGATTTCGTCTACTACGTGCAAGTTCGCAACAACGCTACGGTTATAGGTTATAGAAAAGAGTGCTGACTAGCCTAGTGAAGAACGAAACCGCGCGGGAAGAGATGTAAAGTTGCGAGTGTTCATGCCAAGCACAACGCAACTTTCCGTAAAACATGACATACCGTGTCGCGTAAACGCCTTGAGGGAGGGAGGGGCTGGACTATCGAGATACGGGAGAGGCGGCCCGCAACTACTCTCGCCCGATGGCCGCCGATGGTTGTGGCAAGGAAACAGATGCCAATCAGAATTTTAGGGCATGCGCAATGAAATATTTTTTTTCTCTGTGATTCAGCTATAGTTGCACGAAATTGCACCATCGGCATATTCAACGAACGAGCTAAAAAGCATGACCTCGTTTATACGTCATAAATTCTTTGAGTGGTATTTCAATGCTGACGTGATCCAACGACATTTTCACGCTCACATCAATTTTTATGGCATAAAAATTAGTTTTATTTAAAAAGTCTGCGCAATTATATTGCTACTTAGTGAAATGTTACAGCTTTTTGTTTAAAAGTGGGAAACAAATGATTCTTGATCGGGAAACATCAGAAAAATTAGTTGTAAAGGTAGAGAAAAATGTTTTCAAACGCACATGATATGTGTTTCGCGTTAAGGGAAGCAGTTTACGTAAATAAACTGAACACTGGAACTAGGGAGGTTCTAGGTTCTGAAAAAGAAAGGAAAGAAAAGAAAAGAAAAGAAAAGAAAAGAAAAGGAAAAGAAGAAAAGAAAGACAAGAAAAAAAGGGGAAAGAGGTGGCGAAAATTCCCCCTGCAAGGTAGACTTACGAACTTGCTATTGTGTCGTGCGGGTGGCCACTGTTTGAGGCTGAGAGAGGGAAGACAAAATAGAGACGTAATCATTGCTATATGAGTACTCAAAACGCGGAGCTTTCTTGGAGGAAAGGCTGAAAAATTAATTATCATTTTATCTTTACTCGTAATTACTCTGTCTTACAAATTTTGAATTAAAATAAAAAATAAAACTCGACGCTAATATTTGAATTATAATTAATTTTCCAGTTCCTTTGTGCCTTTCTTCTCCTAAAATGTGACGCCGTTTAGCGACTCTGCAATGATTATGGCATTACGTTCTGACTTACCCCTCCCAGTTTAAAAGAGAAGTCACCCGTATGACAACTGCGTTTAGATTCGTAGACCTTACAGGGGGAGAGTCACATATTTTGTCAAAGAAGCCAAGCCTAGACTGCTTAAATCCATAGTTCACAAAAAGTGTTTTCCTTGGTCCCCTACCTGTCCTCTGCACTTAAGAAGCATTAAGTATTACCATATAAGTACACACATTTTCGACAACTTTCTATCAGAAAAATCCCTGTTTGTAAGTTATTCTTTGTATCGTATGCTCATATGTTCTAAACACGTTAACTTCCTTAAATTAATTTAACTCTTTTAACGTAAGAGGCCGTCAATTAATTACGTACTAACGCATTTCTGGAATATTTTGAATTATCCTCTTTCCCCCTTAACACACCTGCAACGCGCGCTTGAGCCCTCCCCCTAAATAATTACGTAACGTTTCTGTCAAAGCCATCTCATTTACTATAAGTAAAAATAAATTATAAATCAGGAACGAGTTATTTTAATTTTATTTTTGCCATATTTTAAAATTTATGATAGTTAAAATCAAGATTAGTTGACAAAGCTAACTGCACCTGAAAATAAGATTGGGGACAATTTTTGACTGAAGGAAGAACGCGAAGGCAACAAAATTTATGACAATAAGCAGTGCACAAGCCTTTGTGAATGACGCATTGATCCGGAGTCTACTGTGCAAATTTAATTGAATTCTAGAATATACAAACGTATATTCGCACTACAGATGAGTTTCGAATGTTTTCTATGTAGCTCAACAGATTCAATCAACATAGCATTGATGAAAAATTATTTTATTTATTGTAATAATGTATACACAAACATTTTAAAATTATTTATATTTTAACTTAATTTGTTAATACTACAATTTTTAGTGTCAGATCGAAGAAAAGGAATTACTTCATGCATTTTCAACAACATTTTTTTTAAAAAATATATCAGAATTACATAACACTAAACTATGGCCCCCTGTCCTTAGGTGATGCAGAATAAATACCTTGTGGGTGATCTGGGCTGTCCGGGTGACGCCGCGTCGAAGGCTGAGTTGCCGACGTTTCGACCATCCTGTCGTGGTCTTCCTCAGGCCTCAGGCGCATACCAGCCCTGAGGAAGACCACGACAGGATGGTCGAAACGTCGGCAACTCAGCCTTCGACGCGGCGTCACCCGGACAGCCCAGATCACCCACATGACTCTGGTCGCGGAAGCCTACGACTTCAATAAATACCTTGCTCCTCTTTAGCTGTACGTAATTTATGAACAATCCCTGACACGATTGTTCTGCTAACGATTTTAATTGTTTACACTTCAATTGGCTTTTATCATCTCTAAATTAAAATATTAAGTTGAACTCCTCAACTTCTTTTAGAAAATAAATATTCTTAATATTAATGTCTTGATGGGCTAATTAACACAATTGGTAATGCATGTTGCTATTTATTAATCATATTAAATTCCACTTACAAAATATTCTATAAACAATTATTATCCCGTTTATCTACATTACCTGCTGGGGCATATATTCATGTGTTACTTGGGAATAAAGATTCAAAGCTTGCACTGAAAAACATTGTTTCCTTTTTCAGCGCATAAAACAATACTCCATTTTCAATTTTACGATTCCTCGAAACTAAGACCTAGTTTCAATATATTTTTAATTGATATACTTTTTAGTTAGTCACCATTAGTGAATATAAGAGAAAGTTATTTCTTGTTTAAATGCGTTTCGAGAAAATAGGAAATCGGAAATAAAAAATGTATACATTTTTGTAATACATTTTGTTCTCCATGATGTAAATATAGGTTAGTTTATAGATGACTCATAATAAAAGAAAAAGTTGAATATGTTCTGTTGAATATGGAATAAAGTTCAAAATCTTATTTTAAAATACAGTTGTCTGGGAACATTAATTGAAAATCAATTTAACTTTACTCACCTTGAAAATTGTTAGTGGATTTTTTGTATCATGTTTTTGCGTTGACATACGCGTATTTATTCATTGTATTTAATTTTAAAATGTTGTCTATCATATAATCAAAAAAATTAATGAATTCTAATAATTTCAATTTTTCAGACTAAAGATTCTTGCATTTTCAAAAGAAAAATTCTTGTCTCTTTTCCTAATTTTTTTTCTATTATAACTGAACATCCGAACTAAATCTTGTTTTCTTGAATAAAAGTAGTAGGACAAAATGTATATAAATGTACAAATCTCACTATATGTGAGTTCGCAATTAGTGTCTTACCCACGGTCTAACTACTGTTGCCACAATAAATTGCATTACTCTGCCAGAGGAATAAAACTGAAAATGTATTTCAATTAGTATCTCTTGAAAATATATGTAGAAACTAATACAATTTTTTAATGAAATGGCATTTTGAATCACATGTTTTTCGATTTTACTCATGTTAAATATTCCAAGTGCAAAGTACCAACTGAATAGTTAAAATTTAGATTAACAAATATATCGTTTTCTAAAATTTAAATTAAAGCCACATTTCATTATTTATCATGAATGACATTTTTCACAATCTTAGTTTAAGGTAATTTTCTGAAATTTGCCAAAATTATTTTGTTTCAAACCATTAACAATTACAAACACCTATGGTCTTAAATGTCCGATTTAATACACATTTTTGAACCCGCCAAGCATTTTCAAAATCTCGCATTTTTAATATGTAACAACTATAATATCCATACCTGCAGGATCCTGAACGCGGACGTCAGTCGACAATTTGCGACGGAATCAGCTGGCCCTGGGGTCAACGTTGAGCATGGCAGGCGCGCGGAAGGCGGGCGCGGGCGCTGAGAAAGAGAGTGGCGAAGCGGTTGCGGGCGGGTGGGTAGTCAGCACCCACTCAGCTCCCCCCTCCCCCCCCCCCACGGGGGCATGCAGCGTCAGCGCGTGCCGGCCCGTTTCCGACTACGCGACGCGACCCAGGGCATTGCCTCACGCGGAACCGCCCCGCCCAGCCCCTGCCCGCCGCAGACAAGATGACGTTGATTTCCTATTTCATTCCTTCGCAATATGACAATCACTTTCAGTTTCATAGGATTTATAAAATTCGTATTTGTAATGACGAATTTATTAAATAAGCCGTACAATAACTACGCAGCTGCATTATCAGAGGAAAGCATCTTACTTCTCTTATTGGTATTTTAGATTTTCAACTTCCAAAAAAGGAATTTTTGAAAATTGTTTGGTTTGATATTTTTGATTTTTATTGCAAGAAATTTCGTAAATAATTACAAAACTCGGAATATTACACAGGTCTGTTACAGTGTCAAGGTTGTTGGCTCAATTTTGTTTTAAAAGTGGAGAATGTTAAGTTTAAAATCAGCCCATTCACATGTGTTCTTGTTACGTGGTGTACCAACTGAGTACATATATATCTTCATCGAAAATTAAGCAAAGCTAACGGGCGACAATTAATAAGTGTAGTAGGACAGTTGTTGCTGCATTTTTCAAATGTATACGTTCTTCCTAGATATGTAAGCTAGATGAATACCGTCAATGCAGCACGATAAACTGATAAATCTGCCGTGCAATTCACTCAATATTGCATATAGATATGGCAACAATCAGTGTTACCATCCTCGTGGAAGAAAATTATGTTACTTTGGAGTGAAAATACCCTTCGGTACTGAGGTTTATTGAACGCCACCTAGATAGATCTATCTACTAGGTGGCGTTGGTTTAATTCCCAGACTACGCAAACGTTTGTAGCGCTAAAACATGCAAAACACTTTTTTTGGAAATTCCTTCGAATTTTCTGGCCAGATCCAAAAACAAATTACCAATTCTTCACCAGGAGACTGAGATCGTATCGGACTGTCGTACCCAAGTTTGCGGGTTCAAACCCGATTGAAGCTGTGGATTTTTAGAGTGAAAAAATCCTTCGTACGCCTTCCTCCGGAGGAGAAATTAAGCCGGCTTTTCCATGTTAGTAGATATTCTGTATGTAAAAGATCATCAAGCCTAAATAAAGCCTCTGAGCTAAATTCAAATCACCTGTTTCGTCGTCGCCCAAGAAATATCTCGTTTCTCCGCTAGTAGGTGAAAGGAGCGTACCGAAATTTGCATTGTCAAACAGGTCTCATGGCCTGAGTCTCGCCAGTCAAAATAAGGCATCAATTCAAATTCAAATTAACCGTTACTGACAGTCAATACGGCAACTTGCAGTCACTCAAATACCGTATAGGAGTGGCCTACTACGAGTAGAATGTACATAAAATAGAATAATGTACATATAGTATTTGTAAATTGTTAATTTGCTAACTAATGTGTTTGTCAATATACATAAATACTGTGCACTGTGTTTCTTTAATAGGTCTTTCCCTTACAATGCTTAGTAATTTACAGGAAATAATACAATTCAAGCAATAATTGAACTTTAAATAATTTAAAGGTCAGTTATCTTAGTAGAAAGGTCCCAATAATTCTACACCCTTAAAATGTAATTGCGAATTTCTTATTGCGCACTATTATACTCATGTAATCAATTTTTTAACGGATTTCCAACTGATGTGATGCCAGAGTGATGGGTTACTTGCTTTCGCAACCTGAAGTGAGCAGGTGATGGAAATTTCGTTGCTTTATAGCTTTTACTCTGCTATTTTTGTACTGACTGATTGATCGACTAGTAATCCGGGCGTGTCAACTGCTCAGGTTATTAGTCCCATAAGTGTAGTGCATGGTTCCCCCTTGAAATGGCGGTGATCTTCCCCCGCTGAATGGTGAAATCCGGCGCCGAACGCCTAACCGGGTAACTCTCAGCAGTGTAGCATGCCCTCAGCCGGGACAAACTCTAAGCACCCGACCGGTCTCCCGGCATGTGTATGTGCGGTAAGTGAATGTGTGTGTAAGTAAGAAGTGAGGATAGGTGAAGGTAGAGGCGTCTTCCTACAACTATAATATTAAAGATAGAGATTTTTTTAATCCTCAATCTTAGTTCTTTAGTAAGGGTTATGTACATTTCTTTGAAAATTTTAGTATTTTTTTTTATTAATTTTGAGTGAAATATGGGCATTATTAAAAACAAACTTTTGCTCAAAAATCAATTTTCAAAAATTTCAAAAGTATAAATTGTTTGGGGTCTTCCTACAATTACAAAATTAAATATAGAGATTTTTCCTTCAAATAAAATTTGTTCTCCCTGGTGAGTTCTTTCATTAAATTCATGTACATTTTTTAAAATTTTAGTAGTTTTATCGCGATATTGCGTGTAATTTGTGCAATTTTAAAAAATTTCAAAAACGGCTCCAAATTTTTTTTTGAAACTTTTGGTAGGGATTGTGCCATATTGCTCTATTATTTTGTTGTTGTTTTTTTAAATGATAAAAATGAACTTTGTTGACTTGTCTCACACGTCGTTAATATTTATTAACAGTAATTTGTTTACATTGTTATATTTATAAGTATATATGCTTTAAATATTGTCATATAAAGATTCTCTAAAACTCAACCGTTTTCTGTCAAAACTAGCTCAAAATTTCCCAATTTCAGAAACTCTCTAACGCCATTTTCTCAAAAACTGCTCCAAATTTTTTCTTCAAGATTTTTCAAACAGATAATGCTAATTGCACTGTTTTATATGAGGTAAAGTTCATTTCGTGATATTTTTTGTTTTTTCAAAAGTAACACAAATGTAATTTTTTGGAAAGATTTCTCCCGCCGGTAACTGCACATTTCCAGCAAATCGTAAACACTATTGAATTTTTGAGTTAAAATGCTTTAAATAACTGCAAATTATGTTTTTCGAAAACCCAAAAATTTTCTATGAAAAACTGCTTTAAATTTCAAATTTACTCTAGCGCTTAAGCACGCTTTTCTTAAAAACGGCTCCAAATTTTTCATAGAAAAATGCCGTTTGGGTCTAGGTTTTTCTGTTCTTTAATAATCTTAAAATAATATTTCCGCTCTATAATAAGGAATCCGAAAAATGAAGAAAATGTCAACAAAATGTACTTTGATGGCGATAGATGGCAGTTGGTAAGAGTATGTTGCAAGTCCGAGTAGCTAGCCGAGACCAAAGGAAATAGAAAACTAATACGGAAATTCTGTGCCATTCTGTAGCACCACTAATTCCTTAATGAAATCTCTTCATCAAATTTGAACATTTAAATGAGGCAATGTATAATTTTTCCAAAACACTGAGTACAGTCGACTCTGGTAATAGAGAACTTCTGTAGACTAACATTTCGGTTCAGTATATCAAAGGTTCACTGTATCCGATGATGTCAAAATTAAATAAAATTTCTCCACACAGATTGAAATTATTAATATAGAGTTACATCAAAATAGATAATCATCATGAGCTAAAAATGTCATTATCTAAATTTGTCCTTAAAAAATAAATTATTGTCAATTGTTTGCTTTATTCATTATTCATTAACAATTTCTCTAGATCCTTCTCCAGAGTTAGTGCTCTCTCCATAATTGATTCTGCATTGTCCACTGTTTCTAAGTACCGTAATGCCGTCTAGACACCATTCAATGCCTCTTCCACTGTTGGAACACCGTACAACTCTCCAAAGGCCCTTTTACTCACCTAATAACATACGAAATACTTTCGGTAGCGGAATGGTGCAAGCTCCTTATGAAACTGATCGCTTTTCCGCGCGGTACGGTGGGTATCGCCAGGCTATGGAGCTGTGGTAGTCGCGCCCTTCCTGTCGCCTATATAGAACACAACGCTCTTTGTTGGAATGGAATATCCAGTAACACTAAGCTTGAAACTGAAGCGAGCATCACGCGTCACCGCCCCCAGTTGTTGCTCACGCAGGGCACGCCCTCTGTTCCCGCACTGAAACTGAGTGGCACAAGGTCATCATTAAGGTCCTCATTCAAGGTTCGCCCGCTGCACCTCAGGGGAGACTTCTTTTATTATGACCTTTGGCCAACGGTATTTTTTCCAAGCTGCATGGTGTTGGAATTTGAGGCAATGATGCGAAACGTTCTTTTCCAGAAAGGAATTAGTTTCCAGGACGCTGTACGTAGTCTTTTCTACATTCAATCAATCAATTCAACCAATCAATCAATCAATCAATCGGGAGTTCACTGTATCCGAATTCACTATTCCCCGAGACGACTCTAGTGTTTGCACAATCTTAAGTAAAAAATAGGTAGTATTAGGGAGTTTTTACAAGTCGTTAATTTGAAATATGACACGACAATTCTGGAAAGATTTTTCTACCCATGCACCGGCATCCAATGACGAGATTTCAATTGACAGGTCCCATCATTCTTCCTGTTTTATTTTCTGCCACAAATGTTATCATAGCTTACACTTTGTGTAGTTTTTTTAGCCACCACTAAACTCGAATCCGACACTACAATAAGAATGGAAATAATGAAAATTATAATATCTATATCACCAATTTAATTCGACAGAAATTCATGATTAATTTTAACTCAAGTTAATTCAAATAAGTTAGGAATAAACTAACATACAAGTTTAGGTTTTGGAAGGTTATGTATACATTGAGGCTACATTAATTCTAACGAAAAATAGTTGTTTATCTACAGGACGATATAATTGCCATAATTTCCCAATACTAATATAAACAATACAAATATGCTTTAGTAAAATTGCGGGGTTACTTTCTAAGACTATTTAGAAAGCTATTTACTTCCAAACTAAAGAAATGTATTTTACATATTCGTATGATACAATCAGATTTCATTTACGAATATTATATGTATTTCTATCTGCTAATCATTATAATAGGAAAAATAGAAACGGAATATTCATAGATGTTCAATAAAAGCTTTTAGGTACTGATAGAGGTTTTCGTATGTTTTCGATTGTATGACTTGCAAAAACTAATTTTTCTGGAAATAAGTTATTTCCTATTGACGAAAATGATTACGAACTACGTTATCGTATCTCTCGTCTTGCAAAAACTCCCAAGAGAGAGAGAGAGAGAGAGAGAGAGAGAAAACATGAGAAAACAAAAAAAAAAAAAGATTTTCTGAAGAAAAAGTCTCATTTTTTCTTTTATCTGTGTGGGCGTGTGTTGCTAAATGCACTGAACAACATGACTTAAATGGTTTTGATACATTCTTTTTTAGAAAACAAATTCACTTTTAAAAAAAACGTTACGTCCTCACGGCGTTTGAATACATTATTGCATTTTGGGGTTCATGATCTCCAAATGATTTTTCATAAAGTTTCTCAAAAATCAATGGTTTTTATGGAAATAATCTCGAAACTGTCCATTTTCAGAAACGAAAAAGAAAATTTAGTTTGTAATGTTGCTTTATTGCGTTTGTGCAAATTTGAAAACTCCTCCTAACGTCACTCGTTTTTAAAACATGTACTCATACAATCAAAATTAAAATTATAAACTAGTTGCATTATGTGCAATAAATGGAACTATTTTTCATTAATTTTTTATTGAATCTGTAATATTTGTATCGCCCAAACTGTTGAAGTTGGAATTCGCGCTTTTGACGATATCGCGTGACGTCATAATATTGGATCGAAAACTGATGTCAAAACCGACAATAATCGACTTTGATCGATATTGATTGAGTGTGCTTGTGTGTGTGTGTTACGTATGGTGTGTGGTGCTAGAGTTGTCAAAGGTGCTATTAGATGTAGCCAAAATTATCTCTTTGTGCTTTGTATAATGTAGTATAGTAGATTTGTCGTTATGTAACTTTGGAAGAATTGATTTTTGTTAATGCCACAGCCTCCCTAGAAAGTGAATGGCTCTGAATTATTACGTACACTTCGTGTAACCCGTAATGGAGTTAGATACAGAAAGTACAACTACGTCAATCGATGATAAAACGGAAGATTTCTGTGAAAATCCAACAAGGGACACGCTTGCTGAGGGATTAATGTGTTTGTTGAAGCCCACAATCGATCAACTTGACGAAAGAGTTCGTGCCACTAGGTACAAAATATTTTTATAAAATATTGTTGTATGACAACTATGCAATTGTGAGGTTATGAAATATGTATGTTTTCAGAATAAGCCAAGTGGAGCTTAAGCAGCAAATTGAAGGATTGGCTGAAGAATTGAAAAAAATCTCCAATGCTCAGCCGTGCCCTTTAGATTTAGATGTTTATGTAAGAAAATTAATGAATGCCAAGCTGAAGGTAACTGTTGTAAGCAACATTCTGCAAACTGCTCAGGTAATTATGGCTTTTATCATCAGATATATTGCAAATTATTATTTTCTTACATTAATAAATTTCTGTGGATGATATGATTCTAGGACCGTCTTAATAAGGTGCATTTTGCAATAGAGAAAGAAGCAGCTCGTAGAAGAGCTCTTTTAGAACCATCACCCATTACTACTCCTGCTGCTGAAAGTAATTCTGCTAGTTCTGTTCAGTGAAAACTACTAGTTGGAGTTAAATCACTGCCATTTAAACCGTTTTTTTTTGTTTTTTTTTTTGAAGAACTAGTATCTATATTTTAATTTTTTTTGTCTGCATACTTTTGGATGGCATTATCTATGTACTGTTGTATGGTAAGTGTTGTTTCTAGTTCCAGCTTAAGTAATTTTAAGCAGTATCAGTTTGGTCCTAATGTCAGTAGTGTATCAATAAATAATCAGGTTTATTATGTGGAAAACCACCCTGTCTAGTAATTTAAGTAGTTTTTCAGCTGAAATGTAGTATACGGTACAACCTAAGGAAGTCGTTTAAACTGGCACTTCGTGCTGTTCTGGCATTAACTTGGCAGTTAGAATTCTGGAGGCTTTCTTGAAAAGTGATGTCTTATAAAAGTGAATTGGTAATTATGCGTTGAATAGACTCAAGGTTGTTCATAGTGAACGCAAGGGCTGAAGGCCCGAGCCTTGACTTTGCCATGACTTGAATCCGAGCAAGCAAAGCGAGAAAACTTGCCTTTGAAAGTCAATTCACTTTACAATGCGGGGACAAAGCATATGAAAGGCGAACCATGAAAATCGCCTATCCGTGTTTTATTCATTTCTATTAGAGCACGTACAGTAATTAGGGTTTAAGCCTCGCCGCCACGCTTCTCTAAGGGTGTAGCGTACACTAAATTTTAACCAGTTTTTCTTTTGTGTTGTTTCAAGTTATTTTCTCTCCTTGGTAGAGTGCAGTAGAAATTTTTGTATGAAAAATGCTGGAAGTTGAACTACTTGCATGTTTCTCATTCAAAATATCATTTCTGATTGGATTTTTATTACAGAGGTACATTTTCTTTATATGCTTTGTTAGGTCTGGGCTATATTCCCAGTTTCCCAGGGCTCCCGGGTGTACTAGGATGTGTTTTTGTCTTAATGTCAGTAGTGCATCACTCTTCCTGCACTATTCTGTGTGGAATCAATCACAAGTTTGGTCACTCAATCCCATTGGTCAATCAATGACAATTAATCACATCTGATTTTGTAGATATACGTGTTGGTCAGACCATGGAATTGTTCTTGTTTGCATGTCATATGGTGGAAGCCATGGGTTGCAAGTCTTGTGACTACAAGTCACATTTCATAATTTGTGGTCATCCATTTTTTGTTTGCAAAATTCTGCCCAGGTTCCACTTCTCTTCATTTCTAGGATGTGCTTTAGCTTTGTTGATACTGTCGCCTCTGGGAGAAGGAACTGTGTCCTCAAGTCGTCCATTAGAAAGCTTTACCTTGCTAGGACATAGACTAGTCTTGATCGTGTTGTCATGGCTACTCTTAGAGCTTTTTTAAGGAAAGTGACCTTATAAATTAATTACTTTTTTTTTTGTGTGTAAATTTAACTCTCAAAATTTTCATCTTGGTGAATCATGGCAATCCTAACAAAATACCCAATATTTTTGTTTCATGTTTTCTCCTGCATTGTGTATTTTGCATATTTTACAAAACTTTTTATTATTCTAATTTTCTTGAAACACATTTTGCCAAAAATGTTAAATGGAACATTCAAAAATAATTTTTATTAAAATAAAAATGTGTTTTCTCACAAAATTCAGAATTGTGTGCTGATGCTGCATGATGCCTCGCGTGAAACTGTAATCGGATGCACATGGCCTATCAGGGTTAACTCTATCTGCACTGCATGTGTATTGTAACAAGTGCTAATGAGTGCTGAGAACGTTACCATTAGGCATAAAATATCGATGGTTTGTGTTTCATTATCCTCAATCCCTGTTTTCTGAGAAATAGTTCAATGAATACTTGTAAACAATTGTTAAATGGCTATAATTGCTCATCTAAAAATTAAAATGTTTTCTGAAAAAAATTTATTTCAGTAGTCCTACTATATTTATTTTTAAAATTAGTAATATATGCTTTATTAATGTACTTCATGCATTAACGTACATGTAATTTAAAATTGTGTAAGTTTATTTTGTTTGTAAATGGCCTATAAATAAGAGTCTAATATTAAATGTTATATCCCTTTGTACTTATTGATTACATATTCTTAGTGTTTTCATTACATATTTATGTACATACTTTTGCTGTTTCATACTACACATTTTTACTGGACTCTATGTTTATTTATAGGGGCCACTTATTGTGGGGTACAACTATTGCAATGCCGTCATTTAAGATAGAAACTCCTTCCCTTTCTCATTTAAGTCATGAAGATTACATAAATGTTTATGAACCTGCAGAAGATTCTTTTCTTTTGTTGGATGCATTGGAAGATGATTTGGAACTTCTTCAGCAGAGACGCCCAGTGTTATGTTTGGAGGCAAGTTCCTATTGATTTTTGTAAATATTGTTTCTTGAAGAACTGAGTATAAATTATACTTCAAACTTATAATTTATACTTGTTCACAAATATTTGTAATAGTTTATTGATGCAGCAATTGTTTGTTTACATGACATGCTAATCTTTTTAGAGATTTAGAAGCACTACAGTTAATAAGTATCTCACATACGATTATAATTATACATTTCATAATGTTTCTTCTTATTTGTAAATGCTGAGTTTTTGTTTCATTGGTGTGATCGGGAAAATGTTATACAAATCGACCATCTAAGGGTTTCAAAACATGCAACTGTCCCCATTTCTTCCATAACTTATGTTGGATATATAAGGCCTACACTAACATGTTTATTCTATTATTCTCAAACGATATACACCCAAATAGATTCTTGAATATTTAATGTTTACAGGTTGGCAGTGGATCAGGAGTGGTGACAACAGCCATTGCACGTACATTGGGAGCTGAGGTTTTCTGCTTGGCAATTGATATTAATCAGGCAGCATGCTCTGCTACAAATTGCACGGCCAAAGAAAATGGTGTTAAAGTGGATGTAATAAATGGTGACCTTGTGACACCTCTGCGTGGTGTTTGTGCTGTAGATCTGTTGGTGTTCAATCCTCCTTATGTCCCAACACCACATTGTGAAGTGATCACTTCACTTGAAGAGCCTCTTACACGAGCATGGGCTGGAGGAGAACGTGGAAGAGAGGTATGTCTGTGCAGACGTTTGCATACTAATGCTGTTATGTAATTGTCCAATCTAATTCACTTATTAAGATTTTTTCCTTTAATTCAGAACAATTGGGTTGTAGAAGAGGTTCTTCAGTCATTTGTTGGATTTTGCCAATTTTAATTCAGTATTGTCAAGTGGCATATTGAAGAAAATGCTCTTCAATCATTAGGCAATAGTACAGTGTAATACAATGTGTTATACAGTAAAACCCCTCTTTTACACTTTTCATGGGACCATAGGGAAAATTGTGTAAATAAGGGGAAGTTATTTTTATCTTGAAAACTATGAGTACAGTGTTATGTATTTATATACAATCAATAGGGATTATAATATGATTTAATGTGCAGAATTAGATTTATAATGAACAGTATTACAAGGTCAAATAGAAATCTAACCAAAATTTGCTACATCAGGAATTGAAGGTGCATTATCACCAAAGCCTAGGGAATTTTAAATGTCATAACAACACACTCACGAGTCCCCGCCATCCAAAGCCTTCGATGATGCAACAATGTTGGAGGAAGGAAGGACAATAGTACTGTAAGAAAAGAATGTGAAGTTTACATTTTCCCCAACTCAATAAAAAGTTTGATTTTGGCAGTTCGTAATGATTTCAAACTAGTCTTTTTAAATTTATTTATAAAATAAGAGATAAGTGGGTTAATGAAACGAATTTACTGTTGAAAACATATGGAGAATCCCATACTTTGATGTTTAAGTTATTAAAGAATGGGAAAAATTATATTTATTATAGAATGTGAAAGGGTGAAATTGTGTAGGAGGAGAATGTAAAATAAGCAATTGATCATGAGGATACCTTTCTTACGCCCGTATCACATGAAAGTTGCTTTGACGCACGTTACCTAAATCTGACTATGTCAGCTGTGTGAATGCATGTGCACCCTAGTCACTTAATGTGCATCATAGATTAACATTGTATCATATGCGAAACTGCACAGGTGCACTCTTGGCGACGAGCATTGTGCCCACAGCTCAAGCTATAATAATCTATTAAATCTTTTATACCTTTTGTACCTTTGCATTATGTATCTTTCAATGGGATGCATGGTAGGCAACAGGTGTTGGCAACAACACACGTTCTAGGTGGTGTTAAGCAGACTTGTAAATTGTGGGAAAATTGGAATTATGCTATTGTAAAAGCAGGGGATTTATAGCATTGAAAATATACGGAAATTGATGAAACTGGCGTGAAATGTGGTAAATGCCGGGAAAGAGTAAATTGCAGGAACGTCTTACTGCACTTCATTAAAATTGTGAATATCAAAATGATAAATTTCATTACATGAATAATAATTTTTAAAAAAATTATCCTCTTTGAAAATATAATTTAGGATACTACCAACAGTATAGTAGAAGTTTGGTTTGTGCTTCATCTACCTGATTTTCTGATATTTTCTAAACTTTCTGGTAAATGGCTACATTAACAAAAAAACATTGTTTGCTCGAATAGAAGCAAGTGCATTTTAGAAAAAGGTATACTTCTGATTTTCAGTAACACCTATGAATTTTTGAAAATTGCAAGGTCGAATTAAGTATCATACTTGCCATACATCTTCAATATTAAAGCCAGATTTTTCTTTCCCATTGCAATTTATTCCTCAATTTTAGATTTTTAAATTATGTCGTGCATTAAAAAGAAATTGTAAGAGTAGTTGAGGTACGACCAGAGATAGTAAGAGGAGAAAAGGTATTGGTGTTTTTCACATACCCGCTAATTTTTACCCTTGTTTTTTACCATATCTGTCTTTTGTTTTTCATCATTGATTTTCACAATTTTACTTATATCTTACAGTGTACAATTGATAAACAAATATAGTGCAGTGTACAAATGGTAAAGAGCAATTTATTCGATGCCCTACCTTTAGAAATTAAAGATTAAGACGTAAGTTGATATTTTCCAATAAAAGTCTGAATAATAACTTGAACCTTAGTTTTCTCAATCGAAGAAAAAAAAAACCTTCATATTGGCCAGGATTACAAATGTATGTTAGAACTGTAAAACTGTTTTGGTAATTAGATAGTTTTTATTGATTCTTTACATAAACACTTGTGGACAAATGGGGCCCATAGGCAGTTAATAACAAGACATTATATGAGGAAATATAAATTCACAAAATCTCAGGAAACATACGAAAAAAATGACTAGCTTCAAAGGTTTTCGTGCTGTCAATGAGCACTTAAGGTGAAAAAAAGAAAGAAAAGCATTCACCTTTCATATCAAGCACAGAATACTATCCTGCTAAAAAATTGGAATAGTTTGTCCCAAAGGATGTGTATGCATGTAAATATTAAAAATCACTTTGGACTCGAGAATCCAAATTAAAATACGATTAAGAGAAATTAAGATAAAGGGAAATTAGACGTTAACACTTCCAGAGGTTAGATTTAAGGTATCTCATCAATGATGGATATTGAATGAGTTGGAAGGATGAAATTCTTGAAAATCAAGCCACAATGATGCATCCTTTGTTCAGGGTTTAACCTATTCCAATATTTTTCCTTAAATACTAAAAGATTCACTTACCATCATTAACAATATTTGTTCTCTCTGTGTAGTCTGGCAAATTTAATCATTTGCACTGGTATTTCAAAATTATAAAAAAACAATTTTTTAAATAGTGGAATACACAAAAAAGGAATTGTGATATTTAATTGTACTCTTTCATAGTGGGTGCTTTTTCTAAAATTATAAATCATTGTGCAAATGCAGAAGTTTCCCTTAACAGGCTTTGAGTAAACAAATTATATTAAGTGTGAATTTGTTTGCAGCATAGTTCATAACTTGCAAATATTAATTTAGAATTATTAGTGTTACTTAGTCATAGAAAAAAACTTCTCCAGAAAATTATGTTCACAGTAATAATTACAAATTTACTGGAGGAATTCCATTTTATGTGTTCGAATAAACTAAGATTTAAAAAAAGAATATTAGTTCTAACTGTTAAGCATTTATATTTAACCAGTAGATGCAATAGCTACCCAAAAAAAACTTGCATTGAATAGAAATGTCTAGCATTTGTTGAAATAAACTTTAACAAGTTTACTGCTCTCCTAAATGCATATTTAAAAGAATATTCCTGTTCTTGCCAGAACATCTTCCTAATGTGTAAACTTGGAAAGTTTTATTCCTCGTTAAGAGAAAATTATGATCACGAAGTGAAGTAATGTGTGTTAACAGTGAATCAATAGAAATGTTTGGTTTGTTCATCAGGTAATGGACCGGCTGTTTCCCTTGCTCCCAGAAGTTCTTGCTCCACAAAGCCTCTTCTACATGGTTGCAATTGAGAATAATGACGTTCCACAGATCCGGGAGGTCTTATCAGCACTGGGTTTCCAGTCACATGTGGTGAAGCAAAGACGTGTGCGGGGTGAGCATTTGGTAGTCCTGCGTTGTCAGAAACACAGTGATTCCTTAGAGTAAACAAAGACATGATTGAATAAATCAAACATCTCCAGACCCAAAATGATGCTCAATTGTGTGGTAAAAAGCGGCTTATAAGAAAATGGGAAATGGTTATGTGGATTTGGGGAAAAATGCATTCATTCCAAGATTCTGTGATGAATTTCAGAATATCATAATTATTTCCTCTTACATTTTTAGTAATTTTTGAATACTACAAATTAATTGATTTCCTTCCTAATTAATTTCAAAACTGGTTACATTTAGAGCTGTTATAATGGATGTAAATAGATAATTGAACTGTCTTTAAATATTTATGTTTTTCCAGTTTCAAATCAAAACATCCATGTGCACTATAAACAGGACTATTTTAAATCTACTATTATTACTATATTAACTATTTCATTAATTTAAGGTCAATGATGAAACAAAAATTCTTCTCCATGATACTTCCAAAAGCGTATTTGGAAAACAGTTCAATTCAACTGTTCTTCAGCAGCTGCTGAATCTGTAAATTTGTTTTTTAATTACTCAAAGCATTTAAGTTATATGTATGTGGATGGTTAAAATTACTCCTAGTCAATCAGCTGTTTGTAATAATTACAGGATGGTAAAACAAGTGTTCCACCTGCCTTAGTAGTTAATTAGTAAGTGTATTAGTTATAATTACTTCTTTGGTAAATACACTTGTACGTTTATTTTCTGATATGGAAAATAAATAGTTAAGATTTTCTCTAAAGGCAAATAAAACAAGCAAAAATAGGACGTTTGTTGCAGTCTTTTCCACTCCTTTTACTTTTTTTACATATGTAGTACAGTGGAAATCCAGTAATCTGAAGTAATTAGGGTTATGTGATCTGTTCAGATTATCTGGAAAAAAATGTACCATACATATACAAATAGTATGTAACATTGAATGCGATGTGAGAAAATTGCAATGTAGTTCAGCAATCACATTATCACATAGCATCATCAAGCATTACTGATTTTGCAAGTTCCTCTGAGTGAAAATGACTGCTACATATGAAGTACACTGTAGTTACCAGTGGAAAAACTGTTTCATTTTTACAGCTCCAATAATTAGTTGTTCAGTTCTACAGCGATTGCTTTCTTTATACTACAAATAAGCATTTTATCTATTTTGTTTATTTTTCCTCCAACCCAAATTTTTTTTGGATTATCCGAAATTTCGGATTTGAGGTGTTTGAACTCACGAGGTTCTGCTGCATGGAGAAAGTTATGTAACAGTGCGTCAAACTACACTTTTTTTTTTTTTTTTTTAACAGAAAAACTTGTATTGTGAGGTCCTGATGCAGAAAAAGTGGATTAATAATTAATAATAGTTCCAATATATAATAAATTACTCTCTCTAACAGGTCATATAGTCAAATTACACAAATAGTGAGCCCTTGATACTGAAAGTGTGTTTTGAATAAAGTCTGTCTGTCAATACCACTAGCGCGTAAACCATACATAGGGTTTCCTCCAAATTGCATATTCTTTGATCGAACTGGCTTAACCCGAAGCTTTGCAGTTTTAAAAACACTTGCTTTAAAATAGGGGGGGGGGTATTGTTATTTAAATATTGTAATAGTTTTCAAAGGTTTTTGATCGGAATAAGAGCAAGATTAAAAAGTAATTTATTTCTATTATCTCAAAAATGGCTCCAAATGTGCTAAATGAACTGCACAAGAAGATATAAATCACATTTTGCTGTATTTGTTTGATTTATCAAAAAGGACATGAATTTAATTTTTTTTAAATATATTTCACATAGTTAAAAAAATTTACTTTACCAATGTATTTCATTTGTTAATCAGTTTGTTAACATCTAAGCTTCAAAGTATCTTGACTGTTTTTGGAAAGTCCATAAGTTTTTTAGTATATGGGAACGAAGAGTGGCAAAGTTTTGGAAAGGTTTGAACCAAATTTTCTCAAAAACAATGGGAAATGTTCCCCAAAAAGTCTCCACATGGAAAAGAGTTCAATACTCTCCAATATTCTGAAAGTTAATTTCTACCAAGATATTTGGGGCCGAAAAAATCAATAGAATGCCGAAAAATAAATGTCTTTTTTAATCACTCACAGAATAAAAAATATCTCTGACAAAAATGAAAAGTAAACCATAGCAACAATTGCAAAGTTCTGTAAATATAGTCTTTAACATTTGTGGTAATATTCACAAAAATTTGACAAAATGTCATATTTTTTTGTAATCGCTCACTTCAGAATTTGCTTGTGGTATCGTTAGTCACCGTGACAATTTGTTACTACATTTTGTATTTGTTTTGAATAGGACGAACATGGCATCATCAGATTTAAAAAAAAAATATATATATATTTAATAAAATTATTAATACATGGAATATTGTTCAAAAATGCAGTGTGGTATAAGTCATCATAATGCACTTCTCGTGTAGCTATTATATTTCAAGTTCATTAGTTGGAATTGTTTTATTACTGAAATGGATTCATGTAATGTTTTTGATTTCTGAACGAAAATATTGCAATTCATCTTGTACCAACATCAGTATTTAAATTGCCTGAAGAGAATACGCTAAAAGGTAAGTGGTTGAGAAAAGTAAGAAAACAACAATAACGGCTCATAGTGAATGATGATGCTATATTTTGCATTCATTGTATTAAATTGTTTGTAGATAAGAGTTTCTGATTAGTGAAGTTATTGGTTGCCTACGAGAAAGTTTGTGACACTAGTATTTTTAGTTTACTACCACCATTTCGAATTCTTGAATGAAGTTTTCTTTTGGGGAAACTGTCACACCAAACTGAAAGCCCAGAGGAGGAGGGTCAAAGAGTCTATCAGCTGAATAAGCATGAATTTTGGCCAGGGAAGATTGTAGAGCTTTTGGTTTGCCCAGAACATTTCTATCCCCCTCCATTATGCAAATTATAATGCCTCAGGATATCGGGACTACATATCAGAAACGCTAAGCAACTGGGGACAATTGCTCACATAATTGCATCCACATAATGAAGTTTAAAAAAGTCTTCAGGTATTAGCTTTGATCAGTGATGGTGGCAAATTTTCAACCTCAATATCTTGGTCAGTGACTATCACTACCAGGATGAGAATTTTGACTGCATATTTACAGTCAACTTCAGGTAACTGCAATCAAACTATGCTCCATATACCAAACTACCTGACCCTAAGGATGGGAGTCTTAAATAATGACAGATTGTCTCCAACAGAGATCGGAGATGTGATTTACCGATAGCTATGAGATAACACATGTGAAAAGAATATGTAGAACAGTCACTGGTGTCCAAATCCTTTGAAAATGGTATCAAAAAGGTGTTTTTATTCAGTAAAACTCTACTTCTCCTACTCTTAAATCTAATTTAGTATATTGGTGAATATTGTTTTGAGATCCAATCGCATCTAGATTTTTCTATTGATCTCAGCTCAGAATCTTGAAATCATGAAACAGTACTTCTTTTCCTTAGTAGGTTATTTTATGCATTCCAGTAATCAAAACAAAAATATAAGTTACTTTGTATACTCACTGTAGCGAGGTTGGGGATAAATTTCATCACTAATGCGCATCAGCTCTCTGTTAGTTGCTCTTGCATAAGCAAGATATTGAGTCCAGTAATGCCTGCGAGTCTGAACCACATTCGTAAGTAGCTCCCAGTCAAGCCGAACATCTCCAGTTGGCTTCGGCAAGTCTAAATTTGTGTGGCTGCAACAAGCCCAAAGAGAACAATTGATTTATTTTCTTTGGAAGGCAGCAATACTTCATACAGAATGGTCTGTAAATATATATATATATTGTTGTGAAATAAGCACTTTTCCGTCAGAATAATTAATTAAAATATTCTTTCAAAAATAGGCAGAAAAAATTGATTAAGAGCAGAGTCCATTTAATGATAACTTAACTTGTTTCCTGTATGTAGTGAACAATTCCTTAAGATTGTAGAAGCTGGCTGTTCTGATCGCATATTCCCATAATTTCCTACAATTTCAGATAATCGAGCAGCTGTACTGTCCTGTTTCCTAACCTACTCCTATTCTTAAGGTCAGGTGATGACAGATTCCCTATTCTTGTATGGCCTTACAAGTTTACTTCTATGCTTGTTACCATGTTATGCTTTTCTCTAAAACACCGACTTGAATCTTTTATGTCTTAATTATCATGTCCGTTTTGACCATTCAAGTGCAGGAGTTAAAGAAAATTAATAATTAAAGAAAAATAAACTATTTCGCAGTACTAATAAAATGTCTGAAATATTTTTAGATTCCCCAAGACGCGACAAGAACAATATTTACTTCGAAACTTCGCAAATCAACTTAGGTTGAAAATTTTTAACAATCGGTAAGCATTCTAGATGATCCCTCAATTAGCTTCCGCAAGCTGACGATTAGATAAATAGTCTTTATGGAATGTTAATGAAGAAATTGGCGATATTGATTTGATCAGAACTGATTTGAATCCTGTCCTGTGCAACTTTGTTATAACGGAAAATAAGTATCGATTTTACATCGTGATATATTTTGATGTAAATTGAAATTAAAAATCAGTAACACTTGTAGTCGGAAGTTAATATACCGCTAGCGAAATCGAATTTCAACTGCATTTGTTATGCATAATCGTAATTTGTAATAGGTCATGGGTATTTGTTAACGTTCGACAACTGTATCAAATCACCAGACGCATATACTATATTCGCGAAGAGGTTTCAAAAATATTTGCCGAGGAATGTTTTGCATGCTTTGCAGTATATATTTGTAGGAAGGACATATGATACGCAGTTGCGCAATGCAATTGGTCATAGCAATTTAGTCAATGCAAAAATAAGAGATTGCTGTTTTTATTCGAATTTGGAGAACGTGAGCTCTCGAAATCACTTGAAAGGGGAATGTATAGAAGGAATGTGTTGAATTGTTACGGAGCGTATTACCCATATTTTAAGTTGAAAAACAATCAGATCCCCCAAGTAAAATTATTTTATTGGGTAACATTGGGATCAAATTTCCCATGTGTCATTCACGGGAAAAACTCCCTTTCAAACTTTTGAAAATTAGCCAAAAGAGATCACGACTTCATTGATCAAGTCAAAGAATGATCAGAAAGAGTATATTGTTTTAGGTCCGAAAAAATGTTTTTCTGTATTCCAAATTACGTCACAGAGCAAATTAACATTAGTTCGCACGTCATATCAAGAACATCGCGTTGGCATCATGGAGAAGAAAGTACATGTGCCTCGTCTTACCTTCCCGTCTTGTTCTGTGCCATGTCCTCTGCCATGTAGGACATACTCTTCAGGGATCATTTGCCCGCCAAAAATTGCTTTTGTACTGCTGGCAACAACTGAGCACGCATTAACACGCCTCGCAATGCACTGTGCTCGCGTGTCCAACTTCACCGCAGCCCAACGCGGCCGCCAGTCGTGTACGACGTTCAAGACTTCGCGTTGGCCGGCGCGCCGGTGCCCCTCGTAAACTCGTTCTAGCCAATCCTGAGTTCGACTCGCTGACACGGGGACATACTCTACAGCCATGGTCGGCAGGAAAGAGACAGATATTGTTCGCAGAGGTCTTATTCTTTCGAACGCAACCGGAAATCGGCTGCTTGAACGCTTTCTTTTCTCCCGTATTTGATTTCCTTATCGCAGTTCTAATCATCAGAAAATAATCGTGCATTTTATGATCACGATATCAACTCAGAACATTTATTGCCAGTTAGTATTAACAATTCGTGATATTCATTCTTAGAAAGTTCATATGACGCTACCACTATTTCAGTCTGTGCTGTTCAACTCGCGTAACGCGCACGGAAGATTTTTTAAGCGATAGAGTCCGAATTTTAAGATAGTCTCAAATTCACATTAGTTTTTCCACTCGAGACGACTTTCGTTACAGCGATGAAGATACATCTACAATCACTCGCTAAACTATTCGGGCACCTGCTATTTGAATAATTTTCGTCCAAATGTTTCTTACAGAAAGCATTATTATATTTCAATTCAGCATAATTTAGGTAAATCGGACTTATTCTTGGGATTAACAAAAACGACTTCTTAAAAAAGTATCTCTACGAAAGAAAATGATATTTTAATCATCATTTAGACAATGTGTCTCAAAACTATACTGACAGCGACTGAACTGAAATATAAGTTCTTTAAAGATACTAGAAACTTTAAAATCAACGGACGTCGGAATTCTGAAGGTCATCCATGAACTAGCGAGTCTGCTCTTGTCACCAAAGAATTTGGATAGTGGAAACCACAACGAAGAAGTAACATGAGTCGCAGGGGGAGAAACTATTTTCGATAAACGCAGCTGGTCGTATTTCACCTCATGAACGGTAAGAGTAGTCGATGAAAGGCTCAAATGTTAATGGCGAAGAAAAGTACAGTGAATGACATAATAAGGTGAAGAAATCCTAGTAATAGTGGTACAGTGAAAGAGGGGGAAAGAAAATGAATTGGGGAAGGAAACTAGCGTGGAGACATAAAAAAAAAGTTGAGTACAAGGCGGATTTTTATTATCTAAAACATCGCCAAAAATTATCAATAAAATGCTCTTAAATTGTTTTAAAATGCTCTAAAAGAGAAGACAAATTACGTAAACAACTTGATCAAAACCAATTCAGATGAACAACTGAAGCTGTTAAATGTGTTTCTCATGTAATCGAGGAATCGTCCTTTCGTTCAAGTGAACTCAGCACGCAAAATTTTGGCGTGGACTTTTCTTTATGAGAACTTTTAGTTGTCCAGAAATTGGCTGAACCGACAATCGCGCTGATAGGCGTCACAAGAACCTTATATTACATACAACGGTTGACATTACAATTATAAAAATCGAATAGGCTACTCCGGAGTTCTGTGGAAAACATTGGTTGCATCTCGTAAATAATATTGGAAGCAAGAACCATTAAAATTATATTAAGATCGATGAAGCGAAAATGCTTTAAAAATTACGGGAAAAGGTACAAAATGACTGATTAGTCAATATCAACGAAAAATGCAAAGAAAGGTCATTTAAAACGGATCATTTCCGTTTGTCGTTACGCAAAAACAATATTTATACTAAATGGCATGATTCTAATGTGAAAAGAACTAGTATTGCTACAGAATAGCAGACTTTCTCGTGCTATTTTCTTTTCTAATTTATTTGGTCTGATCCAGTTTTTTAGTCTTGCCTGATGCCAGCTATCGCTGCCCAAAGATCGTTTTTCAAAATTTTCTCAATTTTTCATAATAGTTAACCGCTATACCACATCAAGAATATTAACGAAGAGTGAAACTTGGAATTGAAAGAAATGGAGCAGTTTTTAATAAAATACCGTTTATGGGTTACTGTAGAAAATGTTTGAGTTTTCGAAAAATTTCATTAGAAATCATTTGAAGTACTTTCACTCACAAATTCAATTGTGTTTACAAATCGCTGGAAATATTAACAGCGTGAAAGATATTACAACACATAACTATTACATTTGTGGATTTAGAAAACAACAACAAAGGAATATCCCCAAAATGAACTTGAAGTCATATTAAACAATTACAACAACATGCAATTAGCATTCTCTGCGATCAAAACTTTGAAGAAAAATTTGAAGCGGTTTTGGGAAAATTTTGTTTTAGTTATTTTTTAATGCACATATTGCGCGCATTAGTGCGCGAAAAATACTAAAATATTCAAATAAAAGTACATGACTTTAGTGAAAGAAATAATTCTGGAAAATAAATTTCATTTAACGGAAAAATCTCTATCTAATGTTGTAGTTGTAGGAAGCCGCCCCAAAAAGACTCGAAATTTTCGAAAATTAAGAATTAACAGTGAGAATTAGGCCTTTGTCACCTTTATAAGTATTTTTTACTCAATTCTTTCAAGAAATTACAAGAAAAAAATTGAAGCAGTTTTTGGGAAAATTTTGAAAATGTCCCAAGGTCTTCATATAAGTGCTCCCAAAGTTTAAGAAAAGTTTTTCAAAACCTGAAAACCTTGACTCGAGCCAGATTGACAGGGGTTTCTTCAATTTGGAAAAATCCTACGCATGATTTAGGCGCTAGTGGTGTTCACGGACGGACGAAGAGACAGACGTTTTGAAAAAAACAAAAAAAAAAAAAATTCAGTATCTGGGAACCTCAAAACGTGTATTTCTGTGTAAATCTCCATTGGTACAACTACAAAATTGAAGATATTTTTCCTTCAAATAAAATTTGTTGTCCATAGTTCTTTCATTAAGTTCATAAACATTTTTTAAAAAATTCAGTATTTTCGCGCAATATTGTGAACAGTTTTAAAAAATTACAGGAACAAGATTTTCTCAAAAACGACTCATTTTTTTCTTTAACCTTGTTGTAGGGATAGTGCTAATTGTACTATATAATATGAATTAACGCCATATTGTTCAATTCCTCTTTGAAAACTTAAGAAAACGAAATTCTTTGACTTGTCTCTCACGTCGTTAATATTTATTAGCGACAATTTGTTAAGATAATTTATATATGAGTGCATGTACTTTAAATAATGTCATATAAATTTTGTCGAAAACATTTTCTAGGAAAAAGAGCTTCAAATTTCGAATTGACAGTAGCGCCGCCATTTTCTTTAAAGTGACTGCAAATTTTTCAAGGAAAATTCCAATTTAGGATAGGTTTTACTGTTCTTTGAATGAATGTACATGGCGCCACAACCAACGAACGGGCGCAGGCCTACCGGCGACGTCCCTTCCTCGCGGCCATGGATTACGCCGTATTCTGGTCTTCTCAACCTGAGAAGTGAATTTTCTCATCGTCACGCAGCAACATATACTCCGACATTGCAAGGAAAACGCACACTATGATCTTGCCTGATCGGGAAACGAACCCGGAGAAGCATAGTGGAAAGCGAATTCCCTGACCAAGAACTACTCACGAGGCTTTATTGTTCTTCAATATTCGTAAAGTAATATTTTTGTTCTATTATTATGAAACCGAAAAATTAAGAATTTTTTTTAAAAAAATTCGGCGATAGATCGCAGCTGGCAAGAATATGTGGCAAGTTCGTGAAGCCAAGACTAAAATAAATAGAAAACTAATACGGGAAAGTCTGTGATAGTCTATTACACCACTAGTATCCTTGATATGGACTAGCTTTACAGTCTTGCCCCATTCTCTTGCCACCTGCCATTTATCGCCACCCAGAGTACATTTTTTTTTTTAATTTTCACATTTTTTCTGCTTCTTACTAATAGAACCACAATGTTACTATTAGAATATTGAAGAAGACTAAATCCTCGAAGTTCTTTTTTACAGAATTCTTTGCAATTTTCCAAAAACTTTCTTTGAAGTCATTTCAAGCACTTTAACTCGTAATTGCAATTGTGTTTAAGAATTGTAGAAAATGTGCACATTAATGGCGGGAGAGATATTAAAAAAAACATATGTGTAATCTTAAAAAAAATGCATACAGCAAAATTAAATTTAAGTCATCTTAAACAGTGCAATTAGCAGTATCTGTATGATTAAGTTTGAAGACAAAATTTGGAGCGGTTTTTGAGAAAATGATATTTGAACTTTTCTGAAAATGCTGAATGTTGAGCTCGTTTTCACAGAAAACTGTTGAGTTAATGAAAGAACTTCTGATCTTAATGAAAGAACAAGATGTGGAAAACAAATTTTACTTCACGAAAGTATCTGTATCTTCAATTTTGTAGTTGTAGGAAGACTCCGAAAAAAATTACATTTGGAATTATGGAAAATTCAGAGTTAACCCTGAAAATCGTACCCATGCCACCTTTTCAAGTGTATTTTACTCTATTCTTACAAGAAATTTAAAGAAAACATTTTGAGCCGTTTTTGAGAAAATTTTGGAAATGTGTGATGGGTCTAATGTAAAGTACCCCTAAATTTTAAAGATCGTTTTTCAAAATCTCAAAGCTTCGACTCGAGACACATAGATTGGGGTTACTTCATTTTTGAAAAAAAACCTACGTGTGGTTTAAGCGCTAGTGTTCATCGACGGACGGCGTTTTGAAAAAAAACAACACTTTTTCGGTATCAAGGGACCCAAAAACATGTATTTCCGTTGCAATCTCAAAATCGAGTTTCCGCAGCATTACATAACTTTCCCTGTACTATGTACGAGTTTATTATTCCGTATATACTTATGTATATGGGAAAGAAAAAATGACATTTCATTATAATTCGTCCTCTAGAGCAAAAAGAAAACCCTTCGTAAGGAAAATTAATAAACGAAAAATACTGCAGTTCGCACGGATGTATTGCGCGTATACGAGTAAATATGTGTAGCGGTCACATATGTACAATACTGACGTTCACAAAACTTATTGGCCAAATACACTAATGAAGAGATAAAACAAAATGCAATGTGCTTTCATTCATTTGGATATCTTTAGACGTTTATTTTAAGTTAAGAAATTCAATGATAATTTACACTTTGATTTGTAGGATGTTTCCGGGTGCGTGACAGCTATGGCCATTAGTCATGTTAATGTAGTAAATGTAGAAAAAATTCTTATTGACGGGTCCTGATAACAAAAAAGTGAATAAATCTTGCCTC